ACCAAGAAATGGTCATCTTGTACCCAAAATAAAATCTTACTTTTGCCACAAGTCCTAGCAAGTACCACTATAAATGGGATTCCACAGAATAGGGAAGGTATCAAGGGCCAGGGGATACAGGTGGTGAGATGCTGGGGCTGAGCCAGCTCCGTGCACTGCTGGGAATCTGGGGCTTCTTTGTGAGTGTTGTAAAGGGAAACTCAGGGAATATAGGGCTAGGCTCCTCTTTGGTCTGGGCCAAACCTAATAGGGCTAATCGTTGGGCAGGTGGGGTGGAAAARTAGGTTTTTTGTTCTTCTGAGTAACGCTCTTGGGGTGTCACAGCATCCCGGTAAGTCCAGTCACGCCAATGGAAATTGAAGCCTTCAAGCAGGGTAATTCGGGCAGCTCTAGAAGGTACACAGTCCGGGGGCTTTTTCCGTGGCAGATCTGGAGTCTCTGTCCCTGGCAACAGCACGACACCACGGATGGCAAACCAGCCCCCAAATCGGGGGTGTATGCACACACCTGCTATGTGCTGGGGAGTGAATGAAGAAAAGCAAGGTTATGGAGGTCACCTTGGCCCAAGTTCCACCATTCTAAGCTATCCTTGTTCACTTATTTCCCACTAAGTGTACACCCGATGCCATTGCCAATCGTAAAACTGTCCCTTTCTTATGGACAACCCTTCATAAACTCTTATGAAGAGTATGAGTACGAGGAAGAGCTCCCTTAGGCTAAGGCTCAGTCAACTTCCCAGTCTTAAGAGACAAGTTTTAAAAACAGACCAGATTTTCTGCTCTGAAACATGCCCAGGTAAACTAGAAAATCATAGGGCTGGCCCATGAGCCAGGACATAGCTGCTTTGTGTCAAGGAAGGCAGAGGAATATGGAACTGGATAAGGATATGAGGGCCTTGCCATTTTCTTTCACACTTGCTCTCTGACCTGAGTTCCCCATGGGTCAGCTTCCACATCTTGGCGTTGGTAGTAATAAGCAGCTCCTGCCACATGGGCTGCTGTCTGGGCCAGAATCTTAGGGCGCCGGTTGGGGTATACCTCGTAGTCAGCAATGACTTCCATCTGCAGCTCTGGGAGGCTCTGGGACAGAATTAAGAGGCTCCTGTCAGCATGAGGGGAGTTGTGATTTTATCCCAGGGGAATTTGTGTGTTAACACCGTCCTGTCCATGTCTAGAAAAGAAAATGAACTTAACATGGGAGGCTCCAAAGTTAGGAAAGTTACAGTTACAGTTCTTTCCAAACAGGCATATATATATATATATATATATATATACACACACATAAGAAATGTACAAGGACTTGCTCAGAAAGTCTCCATTGTGAGGAGTGATTTAGCATTGTGCTTCAGAATATCAGAGTAGGGAGATCTACTATGTGTACAAATGTATGTGTATGTGAAAGTTTATGGGGCTGGGGATGTGGATCAAACAGTGGCGCGCTTGCCTGGTATGCGCGGGGCGCTGGGTTTGATCCTCAGCACCACATAAAAAGAAACTAAAGATATTGTGTACACCGAAAACTAAAAAATAAAAAATTCATTCTCTCTCTTAAAAAAAAAAAAAAGTTTATGGCGGGGATATATTCTGTCTTCAGAAGGCCCCCAAAACTGCATAAAGCATAAAGGTCAAAGGCAGACAAGAAATGGAGGATGTTGGGCTTATCCTTATTCCACATAGAGGCTAAGCCTGGACTGAGGTTCATATAGTTATCCCCCAATGCAGGGTGAATGGACAGACTTCAGACTGGGGGTCTGCTAAAGGAAGGTGGTAAAACCTGGATATGAAAAGGAGAGATCATAGAATGTCAAGGCTGGTTTTAGGATATCATTTCACATGTGAGGTGGATCCTAGCCCTAGGTTCAGATCCTGTGCTAAGTTTGGAGAAAGTGGGAGCAAGGGTAAGTTTGGGAGCTGGGGTGAAAGTTGACATTTGCTCACCTGTCTAACACGTCTCAGGTGGTAGGCCACACATTGATCCACAGGGTCAGTTAGTGATTGGAGATGGTGGCTCTGCAAGAAGGGCTTGAGGGCCTGGTCAAACATGGCTGGTGTGCTGAGTACCAAGAAGGCCAGTGTAGGTCCTGGCAGGGGCAGGTGGAAGGCTGGAGGCAGGAGTTCATTGTACCATGCCACCTAAAACAGAGAAAGTTCAGGCCAAGCTGGCCAGCTGACTAACCTTAGCCAGCCCTTACCTCACCAGGTATTCAAAGCCTTATACATTTTGCTCCATCCTCCAACTCCTTCAATAAATTTTCACTGATGCTGTGTAATTATACATTACATTGTATAGGCATCTCATGTGACTTTGACAGGGACTTATTTATTTGGTACTGGGGATTGAACGCAGGGATGCTTAACCCCTGAGCTATACCCCCAGTCCTTAAAATTAATTAAATACCAGGGATTTAACCCAGGGATGCTTAACCACTAAGCTACAATTTCAGCCCTTTTTATTTTTTGAGACTGGGTCTTGCTAAGTTGCTTAGGTACTTGTTAAATTGCTGAGGCTGGCCTAGAACTTGAGATCCTCCTACCTCAGCATTCCAAATTGCAGGGATTACAGGTGTGCACCACAGTGCCTAGTTAAAGAAGGTAAAGAAGGTCACAACTGTAACAGAGGATGGTTATGATTGAAGAGTAAAATGACATCAGTTTTAGTGAGATCTGGCTGCAATGTAGAGGCAAGATGACAGCAAGAAGGCTATTAAGAGTAATCCAAATAAGAAATGGTGGCTTGGACTATAGCATAGATCAGTGGAATGGAAAACAACGGACTTGGGAGACTCAGGAGATGAAGGAATTGGTGGTTGATTGGATGTTGGGGTGACAAGGTGAGCAACAGCTTAGGTTGGTTGTCAGGCCTACAGCTGGCTCTGTTCAGTACAATATTCCCCACTACCCAGGTCTACCTGGTTTGCTAGAGCATTCTTACTGTGCCCCCACACATGCCATCCATCACTACACTACCTCCATGCTTTTACACAAGTTTGTATATTAGATGTACACAATTCTCCTTCCTTCCAATATATCTGTTCATATATAGCTCTTTTTTTTTTTTTTTTTTCCTTGCAGTACCTATGATTGAGCCCAGGGCCTTATGCATGGTAGGCAAGTGCTCTTCACTGAGCTATATCCCCAGCCCTCAATTTCATTTTTTAAAATTATTTAATATTTATTTTTCAGTTTTTGGCGGACACAACATGGTTGTTTGTATGTGGTGCTGAGGATCGAACCCGGGCCCCACGCATGCCAGGCGAGCGCGCTACCACTTGAGCCACATCCCCAGCCCCTCTCAATTTCATTTTTTTCTGGCCAATCCTTTCTCAAGACAGACCCAACCTATTTTTTTCTGTCTCTATATAGCTTTCCCTCAACACTGTTGTGGACCTCTCAGTGGAATTAGTGGGAAGTAAGTTACCTCTTAAGCATCAGGCAAATGGCTCAAGCAGAGTTACCTTATGTATCTTTAACATTGTGACTTAAGCAAGCTCAATGCACCAAGCACTAATGTGAGGAAAATGGACTTATATGTAGCTCCATGTGGTGACAGATGCCTGTAATCCCAGCAACTCAGAAGACCAAGACAGAAGGATCACAAATTCAAGGCCAGGTTGGGAAAATTAGACCATGTGTCAAAACAAGAATGTAAAAAAGTCTGGGGATGTAGCTCAGTGGTAGAATGCCCCTGGGTTCAATCTCCAGGATCGATCTATCTATCTGTATTATATAAAAATATATAATATATAAATAAAATAAATAAAGGAAAAAGAAAACACTTATGTAAAATGTGGGGGAAGGGAAGGCGGGGGTGAGAGACATCTGTGCCAGGCGAATGCACATAATTTCTATATCCAGCACCAATGGTTAGTAGCATCATGAATTATCCTTCTGTTGGAAGACAGAACAAAACAGCCTATTGTTTCTTGTTCAACACCAGGGAATGCCTTTCCCTCCTYGGCTGATCTAAATTATAATCATGCAAACCTTCCATGCCATGTTCTTTCCTAACTCCTTTAGGAAGCTTCTAAGGAGATTCCAGACCCACGGGTACATGTTTTCTCTTGTTAATTATGGTTACAGAATCCCATCCTTCAGTCCGGCATTATATCGGGGTAAAAGGACAAACGTGTGACACACTGTCCCAGACGTCAGATGGACACCGGGCAGGAGGAACTTGGGGAGGATAAGAAGGTTCTAGGGCCTCACGCCGACTCCACCAAGGCCAATCTTACACTTCTTCCTAGAACCGCAGGAGGGATAAACCAACCTGGAAGGGGTAAACCTCGAAGCCAAAAGGACACAACGTGTCCTCAATCTTCTGCTTCAGTTCTGCGACATGAGGCTCCATAGCGCACGCTACACGCTGAGCTTGCTGGGGAATGGAGTCTAAAGAATAATTGTGCCGTTAAGGTTCAAGGTAGCTTGGACTTCATTTCCCAGGAGCTACTGGGACCAGTAGCGGCAGAATTGTATGCATCTCGGGATGCGTAGTTCGTTTGGTCCTTGGAGCATACCGCTTCAGAGTCTGAAAAACTCGATGTCCCGACAAGCTTCACATTGGGGCGTGAACGCGCTTGTCTTTCACGGAAACGTAATTCGGCCGCTTAGGTAGCTAGTTGGCTAGAGGCGTGGTGCAGCGGCGCCCATTCTGAAGCCAAACATTCTCCGCCTACTGGAGGGTTTGAATCTAGCAGCGGCAACAGTCTCTGACAGGTTTGGCGTGATGGCTTCAGGGTCCTGGAGCTGGAACCTGGATTTCGACCTAGATTTGAAGCCTTCTACTCCCACTTGATATCTGTGTATCAGGGTATTCCGTTTCCCGAGAACGCTGCTTTCTTGCCAAGAGCCATACTCTTGGTCTGATATTGCCTCCCTATCCTTAGTATTGCATATTCACTCTCCTCCTTCCATCTAACGGTGTTGCCTTTCCTGGGCTGTTCCTCGGGTATCCCCTGCTGGAAGAGCAAGGGCAAGAGTGGTCTGGGAACCAGACCCCAGTCACTGGAAATGAGTAGGAGCCTGAGCTGGTCTGACCAGATTGATATGCTTTTGCGTGCAACTGATGGGCATGTGGCCCGCATTAAGGTAAGATGGCACCAGAGGCTCCAATTGTTGTTCTTCTTCTTTCTTCTTGTTCTTTTGGGAGGCGGGGGTGTCAGATTAGACTACACCAAATTCATTGGCCTGTACAACTCTTTCTTTTGTAGCAGAGGCTGTATCCCCTTGGGGTCTCCACCTCAGGTAAGTATTGCCCCTTTCATTCATCAGCCTTTTCTCTTTCAAGATCTTCCTTCTTCCAGTGCCTGTACCATCACTATTTCTTCCAAATTCCAACTCTTTGCTTTTCTGAACTCTCTTATCCCACAAAGATTCTGTCCTTGTCCCTTATTCCCTTGSCAGGGGACCTGGCTGGATCCTGGATTTCCTCTCATCACTTGTCTCCGCAGTCAGAAGACCAAGCTCAACAGCCTTGGGCTCTAGAGACCCCCACTGTCCCAGAGAGTCTAAACTGGGCTGAGACCTATAGCCCAACCTCTCTCTGGAATGAAGTTACTATTCTCTGATTGGAGGTTCAATCTCAGGCTCAGGTGAGTCTTGGAATCCTAGGTGTGTATATGTGGTGTTTGTGTGGGAAAGTTTTTTATGCAGTAGTTAATGTGCTTTTCTGCCTGGGTAGGTAACTAAGGCACTAAGGAAGACTGTTCAGAGATTGCTGGAAGAGCAAGAGCAACAGATGTCCAAGATCAGTGCTCTGGAAGGTATCAGTTCAATTCTTCATATACACAGATATTTTTTTCCCCCCAGCACTGGGGATTGGACCCAGGGCCCCTTGCTATGTTAGGCAAGGACTCTTACCACTGAGCTAAACTCCCAGCTCCCCATACACACTGCTGTATATGTGTGCACATGATTTTGCTGCATACCTATTGTTTGTGCACATGTGTCATGATTTGCAAGAAGAGTCTAGACCTGTGTGAACCTCTCAGAGGAGCTAACCCTCAATTTGTACCACAATAGCATCACTAAGGTTGCTGCAGGGGGGCCCAGAAGGTCGAGTTCTTCTCCTGGAACAACACCTGGAGGGRCTGAGAAGGGAACTGCAAAGCCTTCGGAATCAGGTATGGGAGCAGGCCCAAGCCCAAGTCCAAATGAAAAAAATACCAGGAAACTACAGTTCTACCAGTGGCTTTCACCATGAGCTCCAAACTGAGTAAGTGATAGGCCTCACTTTCTTGAGTCCTCTGAACTCTTGGTATTCCAGGAGGCTTATTGCCTCCTCGCTCTGTTGGTTGACTGTAGAATGACTGCCATTACTTCTGTAGGCAGCAAATACTGTGGAAAGAGTCAGAGATTTTGCGAGAGGAACTGAAGTTGCTTCGGAACCAGCTGAGTAAGTAAAAAAATTGTGGGTATAAGTTCCCTTGTCTCCCTTTTTGGAATGCCTTTTTTTCTCCCAGTAAGTGATCAAGCTCTACCTGTTTGACCTATTAAGAAATCTGACACTGGGTGCGGTGGCACCCACCTGTAACCCCAGCAGCTTGGGAAGCTGAGACAGGAGGATTGTGAGTTCAAAGCCAGCCTCAGCAACGGTGAGGTGCTGAGCAACTCAGTGAGACCCTGTCTCTAAATAAAATACAAAATAGGGCTGGGGATGTGGCTCAGAGGTCTAGTGCCCCTGAGTTCAATCCCTGGTACCAAAAAAAAAAAAAAGAAAGAAAGAAAGAGAGAGAGAGAGAGAGGGAGGGGAGAGAGAGAGAGAGAGAGAGAGAGTGAGAGAGAGAGAGAGAGAGAGAAGAGAGAGAGAGAGAGAGAGAGAGAGAGAGAGAAAGATAGATGGATGCCGAAATATTTTGTTGTGTTCATTGCCTATCATGGCGTGAGTTTTGTCTATTCAGTCAGCTTGGAAGCTTCTAACATCTAGACCAGAATGCTTTTTGTCTTAGTTTTCAGTACCAGTTTGGTCATAAGACAGCCAAGGAGAAGGAAAAAATTGGAGACTACCCCCTTAAATTCTCTTTCATCTTCAGGCCAGCACCAGGAGCTGCTGCTGAAGCAGATGACTGAGGGGCAGCAGGCTCAAACCCACAGCTGGAAGGTTGAACCAATATTAGACCTATCTCCACATATTTCCCTGTGGAGGCCCCATCTTTTTTCTGTTTGTCCTATTCTGCAAATAGGCCAGGATACCCTCTCCTACCAGCACCTTTATCTCTTTTTTTTTTTTGCTGTGCTGATTCCACTTTCTCCAGAGCTCTTCTTTCCAATTCCTTTGCTATAAGAAACTGTCCTTGCTTATATGAAGGTTCCAAGTGTGCTAAAGAAGCCAATTGTGGGGAAGGGGTTTCTTCCTGGAGGGAGAAAGTTTGGTCCTAACTGGGCCCATGGTCTAGCAGATGTTGGAAAAGCTGCAAAGTGGCCAGGAGAACAAGAGTCACACCCTGGAGGCTGCCAGGACAGAGTCCCWGGATGCCCAGCAGGAGCATAATTTCCTCAGGTCAGGTGGTGTGGGTGCTGTGGCAGTGGAGGGGATTTGTCTCACAGAGGTCAGGCATTGGGGCCAAGTTCAGTTATTCTAAATTTGACCAGGACTGGTGGGGGCAGACTGAGTTTTTGGGTTGCAGCCCATAAGGCATTCTTTATTTGATACAGAGCAGTGAGATACCTTTTTTTTTTAATTAATTAAAAAAATAAAAATAAGTAAATAAAAATAAAAATAAGTAAATAAAATAAAGGTATTAAAAAAAACTTAAAAAAAAATAAAAGGGGAGGATTATGAAGTACTGGCCTTAGGAAGTAGGATAGTTCTGTGCTGGGAGGATTATGTCACCTCTGTCTCTGATTCTGTTCTTCTTTCCAGGACTTCCTTTGATGTCTTCCAATCTAAGCTGCCCCTGGCCTTCACTTTCACCAAGTCTCTTTGTTCAGCTAGCTCTGAAGTCAGTCTTCTAGACAGTAACAGTAACTGGGAACTTTTAAGGAAATTAGGTAAGGGTGAGGGAAGGGATCCTACTTCTGGGGTTGGCTGAATCTGAAGGGTGCCTGGATGTTTGGCACTGGGTAAAATCAAATCTGCCTTTTTCTTTGTGAATCCATCAACTTCTGTTTTATCTCAAATCAGTCCTGTATGTCCCTTTCCATCAGACAGGCCCAGGACTTAGTTCTGTGTACATAACAATGCTTGCTGATTTGTTTTTCTCTTCTCTTTTCCTTTCTCCTGAATCTCCAGAGGAGCATCATTTTCAACCTGATGCTGAGCGTCTCTCAACTCCATGCTCAGGGAATCTTGAGCAAGCGAACCTATCCCTTCAGGGTCCCAAGATACTTCTGAGTGACTTGTAATGACTTTTTTGAAAATAGTGAGATGAAGGCTTTTTTTGCCCATCCTCCCCTCTTGTTCTGGGCAGCCTGCCAATCCCCTCTTGATCTAGTTGGTATCTGACATTTCTAGTGAGGCTCCTCACTGTCTGTCCCTGCCCCTAACTTCAATAAAATGGTTTAACTCTCCCTGATGTGTTTTATGTGAATCAGTACCCACATGGGATAGACTCAGCAATACCCTTTCTTCTTTCTGTTAGTTGTTTTCTGTTACCTTTTCCTCTGAAATCTGAGTTCACAGATGTTATAGCTATACTTTCTGAGTACAAACTGAGGTGAACTGGAAGGACATAGAAATTCCCATTCTGGTGAGCAGAAAGAGAAAGGACACTGCCCTGGGGAAGTAGTGCTATGGGGTTGCAGAGGAGGGTGATATTCTGGTGGGCCATGGACCTGTATCTGCTGCTGCTGCTTTTTTTTCTTCTCTCTTTCTTTTTGGTACTGGGGAGTGAACCTAGGGTACTTTAACACTGAGCTACATCCGTAGTCCTTTTTAGTTTTTATTTTGAGACAGGGTGTCATGAAGTTGCTGAGACTAGCCTAAAAATTGTGATCCCCCTGCTTCAGCTTCCCAAGGCACTGGGATTATAGGTTGCAGTACTATGTCTGGGCAGCATCTGCTTCTTGAGGCTTTCACCTTATCCTCAGCATTCCAGACTGCATTTCTTCAATGGCCTTCTTCTTCCTGGTCTGTCAATTTGACTAAGTTAGTGGCCTACAGAATATTTTGATTGGACGTCAAGTAAGAAGTAGTTTACATCGTGACCTAGTAAATATACATGTGAATATTTATTAACTGAAACAAAAATTTTATGATTCAATATTTTTTACACATTATTTATTTATTTATTTTTATGGTTCTGGGGTTCAAACCTAGGCCTCATGCATTTTATTTATTTTTTTATTTTCTTATTTATTTTTTTGAGAGAGAGCGAGAGAATTTTTTTGTAATATTTACTTTTTAGTTTTTGGCGGACACAACTTCTTTGTATGTGGTGCTGAGAATCGAACCTGGGCCACACACATGCCAGGCGAGCGCACTACCATTTGAGCCACATCCCCAGCCCCCCTCATGCATTTTAAATAAACACTATCCTACTGGATTATACCTCTAGCCCATTTTGAATAGGTTTCATTTTTTAAAAAGTGCCTTGTTGCTGGGCCTTGTGGTGTGCATGTATAGGCCCAGTTTCTCAGGAGGCTGAGGCAGGTGGCCAGCTTGCACAATAAAGGCAATATAGCAAGATCCTGTCTCAAAAAAATCAAATCAAAACAAAACAAAATTTCTTGTGGATAATGATTCCGGTCCTTCTTCTGTATGGTTGCTCTCTGTAAAATATATTTTCCTAGGTGACTAAGGGCAACTTTACTTTTTTATTACCTGGGCTTTATGTTTTAGATAGTATAGTCCAAGGTTTCYTAAGAATCAGTGGCACCTCATCAAAGCCTCTTCCATTCCTAAATGTAGGCAAAAGACAATGTTATTCTTCCCCCAAGTGGATTTTTTTTTTTTTGATACTAGGGATTGAGCCCAGGGGTGTTTAACCACTAAGCCACTTCCCCAGTGCTTTTATTTTGAGACAAGCTCTAAGTTTCTTGGGGCCTCACTCAGTTGCTGAGATTGGCTTTGAACTTGTAATCTTCCTGCCTCAACCTCCTGAGTTGCTGGGATTACAATGTGTGCCACCATGCTTGGTGGACGTTTTTTGAGAACAGCTTCATTATGTATTTCCCTAAGCTAAAATGTGCAGTGGGTTTATGGAAAGGTCTCAACTCTTATCCCAGTGTAGGTTGAGAGAGGAGATAATTACTGATATAAAAGTATAATAAAAGGCTGAGGTGAGCCCATCATGTAATGCACATCTATAATCCCAGCAACTTGGGAGGTCAAAGCAGGAGAATCATGAGTTGGAGGCCAGCCTCAGAAACTTAACAAGGCCCTCAGCAACTTAGTAAGACCCTGTCTCAAATAAATAAGTAAATAAACAAACAAACAAATGAATAAAGCTGAGGATGTTGCTCCCCCACCTCCTTTCAATCACCTGTCCCTCCCCGCGACCATCAAAAAAAAAAAAAAAAAAAAAAWGAAGTGAGTAGGACAGAACTACTTCAGTTATATGTACATTCATGGCTTTGGCCTAACTAGCAGACAGGTCAACAGGGAGAGGGCCTTGGACATTTGAATAATTACAGGTCAGTCGTCCTCAGTTTTTTCCTCTCAGCATGGAGGAATTGCTGAGAGCAAAGTGATAGAGATAAACCTGACTCAGACCCAGCAGACCCAAGTTAAAAAAATAAAAACTTCCCATCAAGCCTCACCTTCCTGCTGAAGCAAATGCAAAGAACCCCTGACCTTTAAATCTTTCACTGGCAGGTGATTTATCTGGCATGATTACATTAACTCTGATTGCTACCAATACTCTGCATCAAGCTCTGTAGGAAACAGGCTTGTAAAGTTGCCCATTTTCTCACAACAGAAATATTAAATAACAATGTGGAACAGTGGTATATGAACTGTCACCAGGTGGCAGCACATGATTTGTTGCCAGGAGAATGATACTGAGACGGTTTTGGGCTAGAAGCACTGAATTGGGGTGATCTTTTTTTCTTTTCAGATTCTGTGAGCTACTAATTAATCTTACTAAAACAATGCCCTGTTCAGATCACACTACTGTTCAAGAATAGCTCTCACAGCATAAAAAACAAAGGACAAATTAGGAATGTAAACCCAACCCACGTTCAGCCTCTTTCCATTATTACCGGCTCTAAGCCTTCACCGAATCCAATCTTTTAGTATAGATGAATTTTCTTTTCCGTTTTTTTTGTTTTGCTCTACTAATTTCTCTTACTATATTAATTCGCTAATGCTAACCTATGCATTATTTTTTCCTTCTCACTATACTTAGATCATGTAGGACGTCACGTTCATAAAACTTTTCCTTTCTCTGCCAATCCCAAAGCCGCGCCACTAAAGTTCCTTTTCAATTAGCTTTATCAATTACCGGTCTCTTCTGTCTTTTTGGCATTTTGATTGGCCCATCTTGTTTTTACTGTCCCGCCCCAGAGGCTCCTGGACTTGGATTTCCCCCAGGTGTATTCTCCCCTCTTGGGTTCCGCCTTTCCAACACACTGCCTCTTCTGTTTTTACCTCCATTTCCTTTCTATTGGTTCCCTTCGTCCTCCAAGAGTTGGCGCCTAGGGCTGTTGATTGGCTTCTCTGGATGCCCATTGTGCCCGCCCTCATACCACGTGGCATTCCTAACGCTAATTGGGCAATTCCACTGGCTCCATTATTAAGGATTGGCGGTTGATTGGCTGCTCTGAGGGAGGGCCCGAGAAGAGGGGCGTGGCCAGCCCAGGCACCTCCCCCAACCCCGTGCCCCAGGCGTTTCAGTCGCTCGCGGCTGGAGAGCTCAGTGGAGCTTCCAGCTGCCCTATGGGTGTCGCTTTTTGGGTCGTCCTGGCCCCGCCAAATAGGCGCGGGTAGACGCCCCGACTTCGGGGCCATGGCAGTAGCCTTCTCGTCCTCCGCCGCCGATAGTTCAGCGGAGACGCCCGCAACTGCGCGAAGGACCCCCACCGCCTCCGCGGGCTAAAAAGCCGCTGCCTCGACGGAATTGTGAAGACTACTATGCTCGGTCTTGGACGCTGCCTCCCCTTCCCGCCCGTGCAAATATCCTTCGGCTGCTCAGTCCGCCTCAGGTAAAGTCAGGAGATGCGTGAGACACGAACCCGGGACTTCCCGGCCCGCGCGCGGGTGCTACCACTCCTCGGCCCCCGAGTATTGGCTCACGGGTCGCTTAGCACCCAACAGGACTCGGTGGCTTCCCAGAAGTCCTCCACACAGAACACTCCCCCTCTTGGTCCCTTGCTCTTTCTCTTCTCGCTTCTCCCAGGTTCTCGGGACCGGCACCCGCTTCTCTTATCAGAGGCCGGGAACCCATTAGAAATCATCGCATGTCAGAGAACTTCCTCAATTTTAAGATTCAGGAATCCTTCAATTCTTGGAAAACTGTTTGTGAAACCTCCAGCTCCGCAGTGGGAGCCTCCCTTAGAACCCATTCGTGCATCAAGTCTGGACTGCTTCTCAAACGTACTTCCCTCAAACATGCTCTTCCCTCGAAATCGTCCACTTCTGCCTTCGAAAAGATACTTCCCTCCCCTCAGATACCATTGTCACCCCCTTTCTCCCTTGTCGTCTTTGCTCTCCTTTTCCCTTCACTTTGAAGACTTTGGAGTAAGCCACCATTCAGAGTTAGCCAGAAATGAAAGCTGGGGTTGTCCAATTAAAAAGCCTTTCAATTTATACCTCCGAGAAAAACTCGCTAAAGAATTGGGACTTTCTGTAGGCATGTGAAATATTGAAGGTTTGTGACCAGAAGTTTGATGTGATTGAATTATCTCTGGTGAAAATTGTGCAGGAAGTATTCAAAGTGAAGACAGGAGGCCTAGGCAGAAAACTAATGTGCTAATCTGATGGGAGAGGATAAACTGACATGGTGTGAGGAAAATGAGAATACCACCCAATACCAAGAGGTTTCAAAATAGAGTTGAGAGGGGTCTTTTTTTTGGCGAGGAAGTGAAGTTCTGATGTGGCTTATGGTATGAATTGTGTCCTTAATAGAAATAGAGACTATAAAGAAGCAAGTCTAGCTGGGTGAGGTGCTGCTCACCTGTAATCCAGCAACTTGGGAGACTGAGGCCAGAGATCACAGGTTCCAGGCCTCAGCAATTTAATGAGACCCTGTCTCAAAATAAAAAAAAATAAAATAAAATAAAAAAAGGAATGGTGAATTTGCTCACTGGGTGGAGTGCCATGGGTTCAATACCAAGTATTGCTATTAAAAAAAAAAAAAAGGAAAAAAAAAAGAAAAAACTTTGAGTGAAGGCAGTGAATTGGTTTTTGGTTTTGGATGAGTTGTTTGAGGTGTGTGTATTTGTTTCCATATACACAAGTTGGGAGAAAGGTTGGAACTGAATACAAATTTAAGAATCAAGAGACTATATTGGGCT